GAAAATGGGAACATTTTTCCTTTCTTCTCTCCTCCCTCCCTCCTGTACTGGAGTTTAATAAACTCAGGGTTTCACAATTACAAGGCAGGCACTCTATCTCTTGTGCCATGCCTCCAGCCCTCCTTTTATTTCTTCAATTCACAGATATCGTTTAATTAAGGCAGCAAAACATGTCAAGCTCAGAAGAAAATGGGTGCTGGAGAGAGGGCCCAGAATATTAATTGGTGGTTATAGCCAGTGAGGTGGGCCCACATCTAGAACTGAAACTGTGACTAAGAACACCACCCCCTCCTAGCCACTTCTGTTCATTTGATTTCTGTGGGGAGCTTGGTTATTTTCCCCTTCAGTATGTGCACTTCCCTTCATTTACACAAAGCAGAACAAGAGCACCAGTGGAACCTGCCCCCCAGGGGCAAGAGAAAGCATCGAGGATGGCCTACTGACACCAAAAAAACATCTTCTTGATGCCTTTTTTTTTTTTTTTTTTTTTTATGGGGCCTTGCTTTTATACAGGCTAGCCTGCTATCCTCCTATCCATGCCTCCTGCAAACCTGGGATGACAGGTATACACCACCATACCCAGCTTATTGGTTGAGATGGGACTTTGCTAATTTTTTATTAAGCTGGCCTCAAACCACAATCCTCCTGATCTCTGCCTCCTGAGTAGCTGGGATTCCAAGCATGAACCACTATGCCCAGCTTCCAAAATGACTATTCTTAACAGCTTGCATGTTTACATTGGCCTTTGGGGTTTTCTGTTTCCAGAGAGTGCCTTCTAGCAGTTCTGGGAAAATGGAGTTCTGAATGAGTAATATCCTGGTTTTTCCTGGCAAAGCCATTAAGGTAGCAAGGAGGAGGAGATGGAAGACCAAGAGGCCTTACAACCCTCCTGGCTGGAAACACATTTATAGGTTAATTTTGAGTCTTTTTTGTTTTTTTTCACAACCAGAGGCCTAAGCTTAAAACCCACTTTCCACTTCCTTGTGTCTCATTTCAGCATGGAATCTTGGGTGGCATTGACTCTCAATTGTTGCTTTCTCCTACGTCAAGAAAGCCCAGAGCTTTATCTGTATCATCTTACATTTCATCTTTGTCACCAAATTACCCTCTACAGTGTGTCTTTAACAAAAGCTGGCTAGACACACACATAGGAGGTGCCTTCCTGACCTCAAATCCTAGTGTGCCAGGAGCTCTTGCTGGCCCGGGTCCAGGTTCTTCCAGATAAACCTGGAAGCGCCTAACAGGAAGTCCTGGCAGAAACCTGACAGAGGGGCCATGGCTTCCTCCTACTTCCATGTGGCAGAAGTGGCTCTTAAAATTGCTGAACCTGTTAGAAAGCTGAAAATAGGGAAAGAGAAGTACAAACTGAGCTGAGTTACTCAGGGACTGAGAGAAACAGAGACACTAGTCAGAGTTCAGGCAAGAAGAGAAAGGAAAGACAGAAGTGGGCCTGAGTTGGGTCCACTCCTCAGTGAGTAGTCTGGCATCTCACCCAGTGTTGTTTCATTATACATAACATTGGATTAATAGTTCCTACATCCTGGGTTATGAAGAGGATTCCATGAGATTATAATGTTGTTATAAAATGAAACATTCTTTTGGGATTGGTCATTATTGTCTTGAATTTTTCTTTTGGTCATCATTTCTGGTTCTCTTGACCAGGCCTGGTTCAGCTAATGAATTCCTTCAGCCTTCTCATCCTTCGCAACTTACCACCTAATATCAAATTCAGGGATACTCTATGGTAAGCCCTAGGTTCAAACTGGCTTTTGATGTCTGAAAGTACAGGGGTCCCTCGGAGATGTCCCTAGGCCTCTCTTTCTGGGTCTTCTTTATACCTGTCCGTGCTCAGTACTGTGGTCAAGCTGACCTTCCCATGTGACTTACACTCAGATCTACATCTAAGTAGTACATCTAATTGAAGCTACTTTGGTCTGGCGCCTATCCAGCAGGTTCTTTTCTTCTCTATTTTTTTGAAGAAGTTAAGAAACTAACCCAGAGAAGTAGAATGAACTTTTGACTTGAGGGTCAGTCAGAATTAGGTTGTAATCCTGACTACCATTTACCAGCCTTTCCAAACATTTCTGGACCTATCAAATAGAATATTACCTATCACATGGACTCATTAGAAGTATTAAATTAGCTAACATATTTAAAATATATGGACCATTACATGTCACATAAGTGGGCACTTGATGAATATTAATCTCTTTCTTGCTATTACATGAAGATTCCCTTAACTCAGTGAGACCAAATAGGAATTCATATTACAGCCATTTCACCTGTCACTTACCCCTGTTAGTGGTGTATCATCCTTTGAAGATGATGTACTCCCTATTTCTTCTGTCAAGACATCTTGTGAGTTTTTTGGGTTTTTGTTTTTTGGGGTTTTTTTGGTACTGGGGTTTGAACTCAGGGCCTTCACCTTGAGCCACTCCACCAGCCCTTTTTTGTGATGGGTATTTTCGAGATAGGGTCTTGCAAACTATTTGCCCAGACTGGCTTCAAACTGCAGTCTCTGCCTCCTAAGTAGCTAGGATTATAGGTGTGAGCCATGGGCGCCCTACACAAGTTGTTTTTTAGAAGTTGAATATGTGCCTTACCTCTTAGGATAGACAGTGTAGAATATTGAGGTGGCCAGAGTTTTAGACAATAAGCCATGGCACTCACTGGCCTGTGAGGGAATTGAGCCAATGACTCAGCCAAATTATAGTGTCTGATGGTGGCAGCACTTTACATCACAAGTGGACTATCTGCTTCTGAGTGAGCTTACTCTGAGTTGTGGTAGGTAGGCAGATTCTTACTCTCCAGAACAATGAGACCCAGAAAGCATCCATACCCCATGTTGCAGCAGTAGTAATTGTTAGAAACACAGCTCTAGAGCACAAATCCCTTTAGTGAAGTTTTCATCCTAGATGAGAGCCAGAATTCTGGCTGTTAATGAAAGTTTCGACTTACAAGAGAATACTCTTGCTGTCCTGGCACTGGTTACTTAGTATTCTTTTCTTGCAGAATATTCATTAATTCATAGAGTGAGTAATTATTGGAGGTATACCGTTTGCCCAGTACTCTAAGCATTGGAGATTCTGAGAAATGAAAGAAATAGACTAAACTTCTCCCCTGCTCCTCTGGAGCTTATTGTTAGAGTAGGAGACTGATACTATACAAGGAACGTAACTTAGTGGTAGAGTGCTTTCTTAAATGCACAAGGCCCTGGGTTCAAACCCTAGCACCAGAAGGAAACAAATACACAAACAAAGACCTTTTTCTCAGACACATAGCAGGTACTTTAGCTGTGGGTGGTAGCAGACACCTGTAATCCTAGCACTGGGGATGGAGATGCAGGAGGATTATGAGTTGGAGGCCAGCCTGGGCTACATAGCAAGACCCTGTCTCAAAAAAAAAAAAAAAACCTATTCTAAGGTAGTGAAAAATGAGGCGGAAAAGACAGCTAGGATAGGGCACTGGACTGGAAGTTTTCTTCTTGGCTCTGCTTATCTCATCCATGTGCTGAGATCTGTGAGAGCCAAGATTGCATGTTCATTCCCCACTGGCCTATCAACCCCAGACCAGGTAGGTTGCATCACACTGGGGCTCTGGAGTCTGATTTTGGAGTTGCACCAGCCTTGCATAGTAGAAACAGGTTCAGGAGGCATTGTCTATCTCTGGAACAGCCTGGATGGCTCCCTGGAGTGGGTGGGTTGGGGAGGGAATTTGTGTTGGTTTATCTGAGATTATTTGCTAACTTCAGAGCTCCTCCTGCTGTTCATGTATGGGAAAGAATCTTTTAAAACTTTCTTTTTTATCCTAATATAATAATTAAAAAACAAACAAACAAACAAACTTGGGCTGCAGGAGTGGTAAAGTGGTAGAGTTCTTTCCTAGCAAGTGTGAGGCCCTGAGTTCAAACCCCAATATCACCAAAAAGAAAAACTTCAAGTGCTATTGGGACATTTGAAGCTTTCTTCTTGGATGCTGTTGCTGAGACCCAATCCCTTGGGGGAGGGGAGGGAGGAAGCATAGAGGCCCAGGCAGGATAGGGTCCTATCTGTGCTTTTGCTACTTTTAGTGTCTGTCTACTCCTGCACTCCTATCACAGCCAGCAGCCTAGCAAGTTATCTCTGTACACAGTTTCACAGCTGCTCAGAAATCCTAGGGCAGCAGAAGTAAAACTTACCACAGCCTTGTAAATTTCTCTCTTATTGCCATTGTTCCCTACATGAAGTGAGTCAGACCTTCCCCTCTCTTCCTCAGTATCTTAAATCCTTATTTGTCACCTTACAGCAAATTTTTGACAAAAGGACCTTTCATTCACAGTGCAGCTTTGTAAAGGGGCTTGGTTTAGCTTGCCAACTGAATGTTGTTTGCTAGAAGTAGGAGCCGAGGTCCCTGTAGCAGTCTCCCCAGAATAGAACTGGTGATACCAGCTGCTGATAGAGTGTGTTTCTTCACCAGCATGAACCATACAATGGCTGTGAAGGCTTTTTTAGTCTTTAGAGATGAAAGTACCAGTTGAAGTGAATAAGGAAATGGCACTTGAGAGGACATAAACTTTTCTGGTTTAACTGTCCATTAAAACCATCTGGCCACTTGATTCCTGCTGAGACTGAAAAAGTAAGGTGGGTCTGGCAAGCAGCTCTGCGTCTCTCCTGAGAGAGAGAGGTAAGCCTCCCTCCTGAGAGGCTTGTCTGATGGGGCTGTGCACATTACAGAGTCTAAGCTCTATAATGACCAAAACTGTTTTAACAGGGCAGCTGAACCTTAAAGACACATTTTTACTCAGGTGTCATTCCTTCTGCACTCTAGCTGTTAATGCACTGCTAACATTAACTTGAATTTAAGATGCCTTCTCTATTGTACTACTAAACAAGACACTTCACTAGAAGTATTTCTCTTTCTCTGGATCAAATCCAGGGCCTTGCACATGCCAAGCAAATGCTCTACCACTGAGCTATCCCCAGCCCCTAAAAGTAATTCCTTTATGGTTCTTCTCTCAACAGCTTTGAAAAGTCCAGCTGCATTTCATGAACAGAGAAGGAGCCTGGAGCGGGCCAGGGTAAGGCATCCTTTTTCCCTAAGGACCTCCAGAGCTCATTTTAAGAGCTCATCACATTGCTGCCTGTATTTCCTTCCAGTCTAGCATGGGTCAGCCCCTGCCTCTCAGCTCCAAATAACGGAAACCTCTGTCTTTGCTACTTCATCCCACCCCAGCCACCTCCCATGATGAAACGTGGTCACTGGTCTTCCCTCCCCAAACTGACTCTGGAGACCACTAGTCTTTCCCACTTTAATTCCACTGAGCCTTTTGTAGATGATTGGCAGCCATGAGAAGGCTTTCCACATCTGGAACACCCTGCCTACAGCCCTCTGAGAGGGTTCCCAAAGAGCCTTCTTGTCTCCATCTGCCCCAGGGCAGCCAGCATCCACTTGTACCTTTTGGAAAGCAGAAGTGGGACCATACGCCAAGCCAGGTTTCCTGCTGCAGCACCTCAATTAACACCCCTGTCCCCCTCATTTTCAGTTCCCCAGGACCCCCTGGGGAATATCCTGCTGCCCAGTGTGGATGGAGCTGGAGAAGTCACCAGAACATGCTTCCTCCCACCCCTCTTTTTTCTTATTCATAAAGTCAAGGAAAGAGGACCCTCCCACACACACACCACTGTACTTAACTCGTTGAACTCTCTCACCTCTCTTAAAGACTGAAATATTTACCCCTCAGGAGACCTTTCTTTTGTTTTTTTTTCCCCCTAGAAAATCATGATTAATTCTTAGTGAGTGGGAAAAATGAAGTTATGGCTACTGGAAACCAAAGTAGTAACAAACTGTACTGTTTTCATTTTCTGGGAGCCAAAGGAGCACCAACAGGTAGAAAGGATCTGCATGGTGGCCCAGTCTGGAGACTTCTGCAGTTCCTCCACTGCCTCCCAAATGGGCAGGGAACAAAGAGAACCTATTAGAGTTGCTACTGTCCTTCTAATCACTTCTTTATGCAAGATTCTTCTTAAATCTGTTTTTTATATATCCTCATAGCAGCTCTTGTGAGTTAGGTGCTATTATGTCTATTTTATTTATTTATTTATTTTATTTTATTTTTGTGGTACTGGAGCTTGAACTCAGAGCCTTCAACTTGAGCCATTCCACCCGCCCTATTTCTGTGATTGGTTTTTTGAGACAGGGTCTCTCTAACTGTTTGCCCTTGCTGGCTTCAAGCCTCGAGCCTCCTGATCTCTGCCTCCTGAGTAACTAGAATTACAGGCGTGAGCCAGCAGTGCCCAGCGTCTTTATTTTATAGATGCAGCTAAGTGAGCTTAACTAACTTGTAGAGCTTGTAAGTGGTAAGGCTGGAACTCAAACCTAGGTCTGTGGATGTCAGATTTTTTTTTTAGCAAAATAATTTTATTTCCTAACATATGGTAAAAATATTCACCCAATATATGCTTGTCTTGCAATCTGCTTACAAATGACTTCCAAGTTATCATAACTGTGTTCATATTTAAGCATACACTAAAAATTATCTGCACTGAGGTATGAAAAATGAGAAGATTAAACTGGTAATGGCATAACTCACTTTAATTAACTAGCTCTAACAGTCTAAGCTTTAAAAGGCTGCTACTTTTGCATTTCTATAAGATGCAGCACTGTCAGTCTGTGTTCCAGAGGGTTCCACACATTCTTCTGGTCATGGCACCAACTATTCTGTGACTCCATGCAGGCAGCTTCTTGTGGTGATCAAGGAGTATCCCTGGTGGCTTCAGCAGCCTCAGGTCACAATCAGAGGGACTCTCAAGTGCTGCTTAATTCACATGGTTGATTCATTTTTCCATCAGTTGCTTAGCCACTCATATCCTCCAGCAGTCATGAGTGCTTTAATAACTGCTACAAAGTCCTTCTGTTCACATTCTGTACTGGAAACAAACTGATTCTCTGGTTTCCCATCAGGAACCTGTACCTTCTACCCATTCCCAAGTAACTTCTATGTAGTCAGACTTCAGCCATTTGACATCATTAATAGGTTTACTGTTTGTTATAAAAGATATAACTCAGGACTAACTAGATGAAAGAGATGCATAGTTACATGGGAATGGGCTCACAGCTTCTATGCCCCCTTTCCTGGGTGGCTAAGCCACCCTGGGCCACCTAGCACCTAGCACCTTCACAATTTCACTGACCCAGAAGCTCCTTTAGAAATTTTCTCTCTCTCTCTCTCTCTCTCTCTCTCTCTCTCTCTCTCTCTCTCTCTCTCTCTCTCTCTCTCTCTCTCTCTCCTCTCTCTCTCTGTCTCTCATATTCTTTCTACCACTATCAGCCATTCTTCCAGCCCCAGACAGTTTCTTAATCAGTACCCCATTCTGGGTCTACCTGGGCTACTATTCAGATGGCTTACAACATGTGCCTCCTTCAGCTGTCTGGGAAGAGCTGCAGCACCTGATACCTGTTACTCAATCCTCTGTGGCAACTGAGGCTGCACTCTGCCCATTGCAGATTGGGTGGTGCCCCCAGAGCCCACAGCCACTTTATACCATCTCCTGAAGAGGATAATGTGCCCTTACATTTTGTTTCATACTGTACTTTACCCTGTCCTGTCCTATCCTGTCCCATCTTATCCTGTCCTGTCTTATGCTGGTCTTGACTCACTAATTGTCTTGACCTACCATTTGAAAAATGTTGATGTAGAAGTTACACACAGGCTCAGGTCATACATATATTATAATTAGCCATGGGCTAATGACTGTTGAGAGAAACATTTGTTAGACTCACCTAAAGTCTAATAAATGCAGAAGTGAGAACATTGGATTTTAAGGAACTAGTGCTATGACACCATGTATCAAAATTAGTATTGCATTTGGCAGCCACTCAAAATGAACTGAAAATGCTCATGAGATCACACAATGCTAAGCTTTTTGAAATAGGATATAAAAATTATATTCAGTATGATCACAACTCTACAAAACCAAACTTCTACATGAAAGAATGACTAGAAACAAATACCCCAAAATATTAATAGTGGATGTTTAAAATTCTTCTTGTTTTGCTTTCTAGTTCTCTTAGTTTTCTTTGATGAACTTATATTATGATCACTTAAGAAATAGTATTTTTAAATACTATTTCATTTTGAGTCACTCATTTTGAGTGACTGCCAAATGCAATACTAATTTTGATACATGGTGTCATAGCACTAGTTAGTACAGCCTCAGAGGGACAAATGGTCTCAAAGGATGGTGCCCTTTGCAGATGCAGTTAGATGCTGATGTGTCCCAGGCTTCCTCCTTGCTTCAGAACCCTGTAGTCAACAAGTATAAGCCATGGTTACTACGTAGGTGACCAGCAGCAGCCACTGCAGCCAAGGCCTATTTTGTGATCCTCCAAGCTATAAGTTTATGTCCTGGATTTGAGAGTTTCTTGGTATTTTTTTTTTTTTCATAGACAGAGGACTATCTGAAAAGGAAGATTCGTTCCCGGCCGGAGAGATCGGAGCTGGTCAGGATGCATATTTTGGAAGGTATGTGATGTTGGAAATGCTTCTCATTTTGACCTGTTCTCACACAACACTAGTACTTTCTTCCATCTGGTTTTTGCTCTCTCCCATCTCTGCTAGCAAGAGCCAGATACAGACTTCACACAGTAAGTCAGCAGTGCTGTGCTGACTACCACTAGCTTTTGGGAATGCCAAGAAACATAGTCACATTCTTGTCCTGATCTCTTCTCCTGGGTCCACTGTCATTTGGTGCGAAACCACTTCTCTCTGCCAAGGCAGATCCTCTTTGTCTTCCAAAATCCGTTTTAAAAATGCACACACTTTCTTTTTTGTATTCATTCATTCATTCACTCACTGGCATTTAGCTGAGCACCTGTGATAGACAGGTAAGCTCATCTTAGATGGACCCCAGCTGGCCCAGCCACACACTTCTTTCTATAGTTGTAGTGAAAGAAAAGTTTTGGCTACTGGAAGCAGCAAAAATATATCCACTTTTGTTTGTTTACTTTGGGGCCATCTTTAGGGCTGGAAGAAACATTCTGAGTCTGAACCCTGTGTTTTGCATGTGAAGATGTTGAGGCCCAGAGCAAAAAGGGAGTTGCCCCAGTAGCCCAAGTTTGAGTGAGAGCAGAGACCATTCCCTCATCTGATGCTTCTTTGTCTCTGCAACTCCACCTCAGAGTCCTGGACCAGCCTGGCCAGGTTACAGATTCCCTTGTAACACTTGAAGCCAGGCCACCGTTCTCTGCTTGGGTATACTTTCCACTCAGATGGCCTTTGCTCCTGCTGCTCTGGAGCTCCCAGGGCAGGATCAGGGCCTCTCCTCCATCCTCCTGCACCCCCTTCTCTCCTATGACAGAGACCTCGGCTGAGCCTTCCCTCCAGGCCAAGCAGCTAAAGCTGAAGAGAGCCAGATTAGCTGATGACCTGAATGAGAAGATTGCACAGAGGCCTGGCCCCATGGAGCTGGTGGAGAAGAACATCCTACCTGTAGAGTCCAGCCTGAAGGAAGCCATTATTGGTGAGGAGGCTCAGTCACTTTGTGTGGATTGTAGCTAGGAGGGAGGAGGGAAGGAAGCACTGTCGTGACTGAGGCAGAATTGGGCCAGGACTGTTGGCATTTTGACTTCTGCCCTGCATAACCTTAAGGAAACCAAGGCCTAGAATTTGAGAGCCTGAGAAGCAGGTGTGATCACAAAAATAAATAACAGAGAAGCCTCTCCTGTTTTCCTTCCAGTTCTGCCAGCTAAGGGGCTTATTCCTCTTTCTCAGTGTAGATAGTTACAAGTTATTTGTATGTGATATTAAGAATTAGAAATCTGTACTTTGGCTGGACATGTAGTTCAGTGGCAGACGGTTTGCCTAGCATGTGCAAGGGTTCCATCCCTAGTACTGCAAAAAAAAAAAAAACTGATATCTATACCTTACTGTTTTATTTTTGCCATGCTGGGGATCAAATCCAGAGCCTTGTATACACTAAACAAATTCTCTACCACTGATTTACATACCAAGGATATTATTTTTATTAGTGAAAACTCTTCCTAGAACCTGTCACAGATACTTCATTCCACAAATATTGATGGGCCCAAGTAGTGTACTGGATACTAGAACCAAAGCCCCATAGAGCCGATCAGACCCCTCTGTCCTGTATAGTTCCCACCAGGGGGGCAGAGAAAGGCAGGCAGTGCAGAACAGAGGTGGAAACTGTGCTGGAGGGAGCATTGGGTGCTCTAGGCACACAGAGGCAGGTTACCGGACCCACCCTGACAGTGGAGGTGTGGGCATCAGAAGATGAAGACCAAGCCTGGGGCTTGAGGATGAGTAGGAATTGCTAATGGATATGAGTGGAGGAGAATATACTCTAGGCAGGGAGACCAGTGAAGGAATAGGAAAAGAGGGTGTCACACAAGAAGAGGGAGGGAACAGAGGTCAGGATATGCAGGACCCCTTGTGTCATGGTCAAGATTGCAAACTTGAGTTCATAATATAAGGAAAAAGCAGTCTCCTCTCTCATTTGGCATGGAACAGGCCCAGTGTTGGTATTTTGGCTTGCTGTTTTTCCCCACCTAAGCAATTCTTGAGCAGACACAACTGTGTGTCCTTTAATCTACTTCCATCCTGACACTATCTAGTACAGACCCCAACAGGCTAAGGGCTCAGTTGAAAGGCTGCCCCCACTGCAGATTCTAATTGGAAGTTTATAGTTCCATGACCTGTACTTCTGACAGACCAGTTCCCATGACTCCCTCTTTGGATTTGATCACTTGTTCGGTCACTTAAGAACTCAAATAAACCCTTTACTTTTACTTATGTAAATAGGCCTCCACATGTTCAGCAACTGTAAACTCATCAACTCTTGTCCAAAAGTTTATTTTCCAGAGCTGGATCCCAGCCCCTTCCCATCTGCCTCCCTTCCCCTTCCCCGGAGGTGGGTAGTTCCCTGAAAGTTCCAGTCTTCTGGTGACATCCTGATGCTAAGTGACCTCATAGCATAAACATTTTCCTAAGTTATGGAGGGCAAGCAGCTCAATAATAAAAGATACTTCTATAACTCAGGAAATTCCAAGAGTCTTAGGTCCCCTGAGATAGGAACCAAGGCACAAAGACCAAGTATACTTAGGCCACACTAAGATTTTGGTGTAGTTGGTACAGACATGTCTCTACTGCAGTCGGCCCACAACCTAAACCCTGACAACAACACACATTCCCTCCTCTCCAGAGGAAGCTGTGTCTTCAGAGAAAGAGCTCAAAGTTTCCCTTTGACAGTGACTTCTGTCTTTGGCCAGGGCATGAAGGTGAAACACTGAGCAGACCCCACAGCGTGAGTTCATCCTGAGCTCTGGAGCTGAGGACATTGGCAGTTTCTAGAACCTTGCTGATGTGATTCACAGCAGCAGCCACCATACTGAATGCTGGATCACTGAGCCCCTAATACCCTTTTCCCCATATGGTGCAGGAGCCCTCATAGTTCAGTGATTGGCATCTGTCCCATCTCACCTCCGGGTTTCCCTCCCTGAACTCTGCAGAGCCTCTAGTTACTGGTCAGACTGGTTCTGAACACTGCAGCCAAAGTCTGAGAAATGCTTGTCCAGTCAGCAACATGCTGGCCTTGCATTCAGCCCTGAAGTCTCAAAAGATGGATAAAGTAGGACTTGTGCCCTCAGAGAGTTCAGTCTGACATGACAGGACTGACGTATAAAGACAGGATTTCTGATGCTAGCGTATTGTAATAGAAAGGCTGAAGTCCCTATCATGTAGCTGACTCACTTGCCTAGCAGAAGTTTGCTGGATGCAAAGGGCCAGCACAGTCCTTGGTGTTTGGAGAAACTCATGGCATAGTGGCTACTGTTGTCAACAGTGGTGCTCATTTTAGGTCAGTTGATAACTGCTTTGATAGGCAGCATCTAATAATGGATATGTGTACTCAGTGCAGTGGGAGCCCAGCAGAGGGATGGCTCTGAGGGACATTGAGGTCATAGAGGCTGGGGAAGTACCCACATGTGAGACGGCCCAACATGGAGGTCAAGTCAGAATTTGCTGAGTAGAAGAGGTTCACAGGGACAGCATGGCAGTGGCCTGGGGGGATCCTAGGTGACTTGAGAGGAAGGAGCATTTGCCAGCAAAAGCTGGCAAGGAATCAGTAGGAGGTAAGGACCTGGCAACAGTAGCTGTAGGCTATTTGTTCAAGAATTCAGTGCAGGAAAAAGAGAGGTTGGACTTGCAGAACTTTTAGGATGGAGACATGAAACTAAGACAAAAGAGGGGCAGGAGAGGCTGAAGAGGTGGGAAGAGGGGGAGAAAATGGAACCCAGGCCTAGGTGGATGTTTGGCTCAGATTGGAGAGGTAAAAGGGAAATGGGGCCTGGTGTCTTCATGCGTGTGTGTGTGCGTGTGTGTGTGTGTGTGTGTGCGCGCGCGCGCGCGCGCTTATGCTCATGCACACACACACACCTTCCCGTCAGTCCACCCATAGTTGCATAAAGATGAATGTCACATCCTCTCCATCAGGGACCCAAGTCTTTCCTTAGTGTGCCCTTAGCTTCTGCATTTTACTCCTGCAGAACATCTGTTCTACTCTAATGCCATTAGAACATTACCTCCCTCAGAGCGGGGACCCAACACTGTTCCTGAAATGTGCCTGGCTACAGGTGAGAAGATAAATAGAATTTGTAGTGAGTGATCTGTTCCAGTCTTCCCAGTGTGGCCAGCAGCTCTTTGCATTAGACTGATCTGAGTAGGAACTATATTTCTCTGGCCTGGATTAACATTGTCACATGCTTGGCCCCACCTGGCTGCTGTCCCACAACAGGTTCCTATAACTTAACTGCTTCTTACTGGGAGCAAGAGACTGTAAGTATACAATTGGCATGAAGTATATAGGTGGTTAGCAGGTTCAGTCCTCTCTGTATTACACACTTGCCCCTGCTGGGACAGATGAGGGAACAGAGAAATGAGCCCACCTGTGGCATTCCTGGCTCGTCACCACAGTCAGCCAGTAAAGGAGAAGTTCAAGTGCATCCTTGCCGGTCCCAAGGGAGGAGACAGCCTCCGGTCATGGCCCTGGAGAGGAAGAGGCTATTGGGAGCCTTAAGCCCAGACAAACCCAGTGCGAGCCATTGAGGCTTGTTCCTTTTCCTCATTTGGGGTCTTCCCACCACAGCATAGCTCCTCAGGCATGTCCAATGGCTCTCTGCCTTCCTGGCCGCGTTGGTTCCTCCTGTGTGGGTAATTGAGCAACTCACCGTTCACCTCTTTCCATGGCAATACAGACATAGTGGTTATGACACGACTCTTGAAATATCCTTTTAGCTTCTGTTCCTGCCTTTCCTTCCCTCTTCAACTGGGGTTCCCATGTGGGGATTCCCACACTGAGCCCCAGAAGTAGCAGCTTTGTGTGGTGCCCTCCTTCCCTGCCCCCAGCCAGCTCTCAGGGGGACACATACTCACTGCCATCAAGGCTTGGCTGTGGGTACAGCCAGGAAAGCTTTGGGCAGCAGAGTATTTCTTCTGGTGTCTCAGCTGTCCAGGCACTGGGTCTCAGAGTCACTGGCCTCTAAAGGGGGTCAGTTTCCATTAACCCGATGACAACTGTAAGGCAAGCATCCTTTTCCAGCATACCCTCCATCTATAGCCTCAGAGCCAGCTCTTTAGGCTATCTTGGTTTTTGGAGAACAGAGTCAGCCCTGTGGAAGAACTGTGCACACTCCACCTTCACCAGTTCCCATGGTCCCTTACCAGCAGATTCAGGGCTCTCAGAATATGGACGATTATCACTGGGCGATACTTTGTGCTGGTGATTCATGCCTGCAATACTAGCAACTCAGGAGGCAGAAATCAGGAGGAACGTGGTTTGAAGCCAACCCTGCGCAAATAGTTCGTGAGATCCTATCTTGAAACTACTCAACACAAAAAAGGGCTGGTGGAGTTGCTAAAGTGGTAGAGTGCCTGTCTAGCAAGTGTGAGGCTCTGAGTTCAGAACCCAGTACTGCAGCCAAAAAAAATAAAAAGTACTGCAAAAAATTAAAATATAAATTTAAAAAAAAGTTACTCATGGGCAAAAGAGTTTTTTTGTAGCCGGGAGATGAGTAGTCCTTAACTACTTTAGCATTTTAAAGACACAGATGAGGTTCTGAAAGAGGTACCCTTCATCTCCCAGGGAGAAGTAAGGTGGGGGAAGGGAGGGAGAGAAGAACTTGTCTTTCAAAATCAAACACAGTAGAGTTTAAAGCAAGCAAGAACCTAAAAATTGGGATTTTCTGCAGCTTAAGGGAGCACTTTGACCAGAGGCCTCTTGCCTGTTTCATGACTATGACCTTCCTAGAGCTCTTTTGCACTAAGGCAGAGTGACTACTAGTCTCCCTTCATATCTGCCTCTCACCATGGGGCAGCACTCTCTTCCTTGTCCACCTGTGCATTGGAGTTGCAGGTGGAGTCTTATGCTGGCTTTGGGTTTCAGTGGGCCAGGTGAATTACCCAAAGGTAGCAGACAGCTCTTCTTTCGATGAGGACAGCAGCGATGCCTTATCCCCCGAGCAACCTGCCAGCCATGAGTCCCAGGGTTCGGTGCCATCACCCCTGGAGGCCCGAGTCAGCGAACCACTGCCCAGTGCCACTTCCGTGTCCCCCACTCAGGTGAGCTTGCCCACTTCCAGATGGGACTGTCCAGAGAAAGTGTCTGCCCTAAGTCAGGTGGGTGGCTCCTCCTCTGCCACAGGAAGCCAGGGGATATTGCTTCTGTATTCCAGATGCTGGCTGCCCAAGTCCCTGGTGGTGAGCAGGGAGGGAAATACCAGTAGTAGGCCCTTAATTTTGGCAGTCTGAGCTCACTTGGACCCAAGAGATAGGATGTTGGGTCAGGGGTCTCCCACAGCTGGTTTTGTAGCCTCCCTGGCCTGCCTACTTTCATTCTCAGAGCAGCCTGCTGATTGGAGTGCCCCCCAACTCAATATTGTGTCACCACTTTTGCCTTCCTTTTCTAGTTCTTCTCTCACCAGTCTGGTCTCTCACCTTGCTCCCACCCTCTGGCTATCTGTCCATCATTTTTGTCCTCCAACCATGATGGCATCCAAAGAGGTGGCTGCTACTCCTACTCCTGATAGGGCAGGTGGGCACACACCCTGTGGGATGCCAGCATACTTACTTCTCACTCCCCTCCCAGGTTCTTCCTCAACTTCCAGTGGGTCCAGATTCTGGAGAAGCACTTTTCCTTGCAGAGCAGCCTCCTCTGCCAACCCCACTTCTGCTGCCTCCCTGCCTCACCAATGGAACTGTTGTCCCTACCGCCAAGCCTGCCCCTACGCTTATTAAGGTACAGTCCTGCCAGCAGCTTCCATCCCTTCCCTGGGCCCCTCAGAGACCTGCTGTGATCTCATTCCAGAAGCAGGGGGTGCACATCACCCAGTGGTCAGGAAACCATGAGGATCCCTGAGGTGATATGGGAATTTCTTCCCACCTCTCAACTACACATGGTAACACTGGCATCACTGCTGTCATAGCCCATTGATTGAGCACTATCTTAGTCTGGTTTTATTGCTAATTGCACAGTACCACAGACCAGGTAAGTTATGAAAAGATGTTTATTTAGTTCAAGTCCAAAGGTTATCTGGTGATGGAGTTGCTAGCAGGTATCATATGGTTAAAAAACAGTGTGTGTGTGTGTCCTTTTCATAAAGTCAACGGTATTCAGTTGTGGAGGCTACATCCTGATGGCTTTGTCTAACCCAAATCACCTACCAGAGGCTCTGTCTTTAAACACTACAAGTTAAATTCCCACCCTCTTAACACTGTACAAATGGTCATTTGCCTCCAACATGAGTTTCAGTGGAGACAAAGCATATTCAATCCCATGGCAAACAGACCGTACCAGGCACTGGCCTGGCTGCTACATCCTCATTCCTGTCTTCTTGCATGGGTACAGCTCTGCATTCTGATTCCTTGCTCAGCAGCCTCCTGAGACAGTAACAGATCTCTGCACTGCAGATAACAAAACAGAAAGTCATTAATAGCCCCCAAGATCTGACCTAGAGCACCTAAGGGTGGGAGGGTTTGTATCATTGGTGTGGGGGACACTTCTGGGCATGCTGGCCTTGCATACACAGAGATCTGATGTTAAACTGAGCAGTACAAGGACTGATGCTGGGACCTCCCTGCCCTACATAGCTTCCTGGCTTCCAGGATCTTTGGAGCCAGCCCTCCTATTTGCTTCACTCTCACCCTTTCTGCTCTGTCCTTTCTTACTCTCTAAGCTCTCTCCCACCCAGACTGCAACATCTTGGCCACCCCTGGCCCTGAGTCTTGGGAGGGACTGATGGCTGGCAGACTATGGGCCGCCTATCCATCTATGCTGCTACCTGATGCCCTCTTTAAGAGATGCCCCAGGCCCAAAGGAGCCTTTCTTCTCCACATGGATCTCTTCAGTGGGCACCTCTCTTGCCCCCATGGGGTCTTCCTTACTTCTCACAGATGTCACAGGTTTCCCCCACCCTGCATCCCTTGAACTTGTTCATCACACTGCATAGCCTTCCTTTGACCACATGTTTGAAAGAGTGGTCTGTCTGCAGTTTGTCTCTGCTTGCTCTTTTCTGGTGTACTCCACAGCCTCTTGTGGGTTGGCAATCCCATGCCACCAGTGGACTGAGCATCATCCCCTCTCAGGTACTGGCTTTCTGACCTTCCTCTCCTTCTGTAGCACTTGCTTCCAAGCAGCTTTTCCCAGGCACCAGCCTCCCCTAGTTGTGTCTATGCTCTCCCCCACACTCCATCCCCACCCCCACCCGTGGCTGTACTTTCCCTGGCTCCTTTCCACCTTCCTTGGGATAGTTCTGCTCTTGGTCTTCTTTTTCCTTCCCAAGCCCATATATAGGGTTCACTGCATAGGCACCTGTTGCCATCTACTCAGTGTTCTGCTGGCTCCATGGCCTCAACATTCACCCTGGCAAAGCCAGGACCTCTTCCTGACCTCCATGAACTCAGGTCCTCACTGCTATGTGTCCATGTTGTCTGGGCAAGACATCTCTGGCCAGATTTTCTTTTTGGTTCCCATAGCCACCTGGTTGAGACCTCAGCTGAACCCTGCTGTCACTGCTACCTTTCTGTCACTGTTATCTGCTCAGAAATTTCCAGGCTCCTCATCTTGCCCTCATCCAACTCCACCTTCCCTGCTCAAGGTCGGGCCTCCTGAGTGTGACTCGCTGGCCTTTGGTTGGCTTGGGTCCTCCAGCCCCCCAGACCCTGAGTTTGTGCCAGCTGGGAGCCTTTGGGGCACATTTGAGGTATAAACAGGAGCTTTGGAGTCTTGGGCAGAAGATCAAGGTCAGTGGGTGACCTTGGGCAAGTGACTTCTCTGAGCTTGTTTCCTCATTTTTTTAAGTCCATGTGACAATTCCTGCCTGAGCAGAACTCTTGGGAGGGTCACATTGCACTCTACAACTAGCCCTTCTGGCATCCATGGCCTGTGTTCCACAGATCAGCTATGGTTTTGCCTCATTGTTTTCACACCGCTTGGAGTCCTGATGATACCCTTGCCTATGTGTTTGGTTGCTCTTCTTTCCAGGCTGGCAGCTTTGTTAGGATGTGCCAGGAACAGCCCCTTTGTCACCTGCCCCTCCCTGATAACCTCCAGGCACCAAGGAGCCTCTGCTGCTGCAGGGTGGTGGGCCAATGGAGCAGGGGGATGAGGAGTTGGGGGTGCTCAGAAGATTCTCAGCATGGGCCACAGCTGCACCTCCTTGTGTTGACCCTTGATGCACCATCCCCTGTGCCCTTAGCAAAGCCAACCCAAGTCTGCCAGCGAGAAGTCGCAGCGCAGCAAGAAGGCCAAGGAGCTGAAGCCAAAGGTGAAGAAGCTCAAGTACCACCAGTACATCCCCCCGGACCAAAAGCAGGACAAGGGAGCGCCTGCCCTGGACTCCTCCTACGCCAGGATCCTGCAGCAGCAGCAGCTTTTCCTGCAGCTGCAGATCCTCAATCAGCAGCAGCAGCAGCAGCAGCACTACAGCTACCAGGCCATCCTGCCTGCCCCGCCCAAGTAGGAGCTGCTACTGCACACACATTGGGGGGCTTAGGTCCTGCAGAGGGCCTCTAAGCAGGCCACTTCCTGCAGAAGCCAAAGGGAGATGCTCATGTTTCTGCCTTTTTTTTCCTCAGGCCAGCAGGTGAGGCTTTGGGAAGTGGTGGGGCCCCCCTGGCACGCAGCCTTTCCACCACCACCACCAGCTCCAGTTCGAGTGCCCCAGGACCCGGTGGGCTGGCACGTCAGAACAGTACTCCACTAACTGGCAAACCAGGAACCCTGCCAGCCAACTTGGATGACATGAAGGTTGGTAGCTTCCCCTTCCCACTGCCACCCAGCCTCTCCCACATGGGCTACCTGCCCAGGACCACAACCATGGGAGGCAGAGCAGGGCTCCAGGTCTGTTCCACAGCAACAGGGCACCTTGGAACCTGCTTCAAGGCCCGTCTAGCCAAGATTATAGCAATATCAGCCTCATCATAGGGGCTACTGTCCTTCCCAACCCACCAGTCATGTATCTGGTATCTTCCTTGGCCTTCTGGTACACAGTGAGAGAAAGTTTGGTTTCCTTTGGGAGGAGAACAGTGCACCTGAGGCCACAGGCCTATTTAGTGGTAGACCGGGCCGTCCTGTTTCTCCCACCTCCACCTTTTCAGACAGTGCCAGCTGGATGTGCTGCACAGGTGACTGCCATGCTCAGGACACAGGCTTAGGCCTGGGGGGTTGGAGGGGTGTGGGCCAGATCTGTTTTCTCTACTCTAATCAGATGGTCTTATTCTCTGGTCCAGGCTGACCCCTCCTGAGTCTTGACCCTATGTCCCAGCAAGACCTACTTGCAGGGACACCTGGCATAGGCTTCCTAGGTTTAGGCCCTGTCCTGGCCACTCACTAGCTCTGTGGTCTCAAAGAAGTTTTATTCTGTGAGCTCAGTTTCCTCATCTGTGTAGAATTTACTACATCAAATGAAGTAGTTATTGAGCACCTGCTGCGGACTGGGGGAGGACGATGAAAGGGGAGGATGGGTGGGGGATGGAGGGGGCACAGGTGGCACAGGTGGGTATACCTTGTCCTCCAAGGCCATTGGAATACTTGAGGAATTGATACATCTGACATGGCCTTGAACCCAGATGGACAAGGCCTGACAAACTGCTCACCTCCCATCCTCTGCCACAGCCTGTGGGTCCAGCTGCCTGGCTTCCTCGCTGTCCTGACTCTCAATCCCTGCAGGTGGCAGAGCTGAAGCAGGAGCTGAAGTTGCGGTCACTGCCTGTCTCAGGCACCAAGACAGAGCTGATTGAACGCCTGCGTGCCTACCAAGACCAAGTCAGCCCATCCCCAGCAGCTCCCAAGGCCCCTGCTGCCACTTCTGTTCTGTCTAAGGCTGGAGAGGTGGTGGTTGCCTTCCCAGCAGCCCGACTGAGCACAGGACCAGCCCTGGTGGCGGCAGGCCTATCCCCAGCTGAGGTGGTGGTGGCCACAGTGACCAGCAATGGTGTGGTGAAGTTTGGCAGCACAGGCTCCACACCCCCTGTCTCTCCCACCCCCTCTGAGCGCTCACTGCTCAGTACGGGTGACGAGAACTCCACACCTGGGGACACCTTTGGTGAGATGATAACATCACCCCTGACACAGCTCACCCTTCAGGCCTCGCCCCTGCAGATCCTTGTGAAGGAGGAAGGTTCTCGTGCTGCACCCTGCTGCCTGAGCCCAGGCATGCGGGCTGAGCTGGAGGGGCTAGACAAAGACCAGATGCTACAGGAGAAGGACAAGCAGATTGAGGAGCTGACTCGTATGCTCCGGCAGAAACAGCAGCTGGTGGAGCTTCTCCGGCTACAGCTGGAGCAAGAGAAACGGGCCCAGCAGCCCACCCCTGCCACAGCTGGGGACACCACTGTGAAGCAGGAGAGCAGCTTCTCCAGCTGCCAGCTGAGCCACCAGCCCCAGGGCTCTGCTCTCCCCTTCAGCTCCCCGCTGGTAGCACCTACTGCCAACCACGGAGACACTCGTGCCCCAGCCGTGGTGGTGAAGCAGGAAGTGGGGCCTCCTGAGCCTGAGCAGACCCCCAGCTCTCCACTGCTGCTGGGTCCACAGCAGGGCACCAGCCTCCTCAAGGGGGTCACCCCTCCCACCCTCATCACTGACCCCACAGGGACCCACCTTGTCCTCACCATGACCAATAAGAATACAGATGGCTCTGGTCTGCCAAGTGGGAGCCCCCGGCAGGTAATTGGGGTTCAGGAAGGCCAAGGCAGCCCAGTGGGCTTGGTGGGATGTTTTAGGCTGTTTCATTCCATCTTCTAATAACCTGAAGAAACCCCATCTGGGAGGAGGGAGCCAAGGCTTGTGAAAGTTAAGGGACCTGGTTAGGATAGATAGCCATGAGCGGGCAGAGCTAGCAGGGACACCCTCCCCGCCCCCACATCTCCTCTTTCCCATTGAGAGCAGAACACTGCTGCACCTGGCAGCAGACTGAGACCCTGTCATATACCACTATCCCATAGGGTGGGGGCCTGAGCCAGCATTTGGGGGAGGTCCCCTGCCTTGTGGAAATGAGGTGTCAGCTGTTGAGCTAAGGGACCTCCCCTTGAGGCCAGCGGTCACTGCTTCCACCACCCTCACAGCTCAGACCCTCCACCTGGCCCAGGCCAAGGGTGAGGGTGCTCTTAGGCGTTCTGTGGCTCCTCTGAAGCACTTGGAAATAGAGGAGACAGTGATGAGAACCAGGTGCCCCAAATGGGAGTCAAGGGCCTGAGCAACCTTAGGGAAGCTGCAGAGCTCTTAGGGAGGGATCAGCCCAGGGCCTTTCCCTTTCCAATTGTGGTTTGGTGAAAGCCACAGGAAGCTAGTCATCCCATGCCCTCCCCATTCTGTGCTCCTCCTTCCCCAGTGGCTTTCATGAAAGCTTCTGGAAGCCCAGCAGTGGAGGTGCCTCTGCCCTGATCTGGAATGTGCGGGGCCTGGTCCTGCTTCCCCAACCACTGTTTGTCCCACGCTCCCATTTAGCCTTTGTCCCAGCCTGGCTCTCCAGCCCCTGGCCCACCTGCCCAGATGGACCTGGAGCACCCTCCGCAGCCCCCCTTTGGAGCCCCCACTTCTCTGCTGAAGAAGGAGCCACCTGGCTATGAGGAGGCCATGACCCAGCAGCCCAAACAGCAGGTGAAGGAAGCAGTGTCTTGACCAGAGTGGCAGTACCCCAGTCCTACGAGAGATGGGCCACAAAGGCCAATTTGTGGACAAGAGGCCTTAAGGGTGGACATTACAGGGCAGGAGTGCCAGGGCTGGGTGAGATCAACAAGCTGGGCTGGGGAGTCTGAGTCCAGGCTATGACGCTACACTCTGGCTGCCCACTCAAGAGACAGTAGGAGGGACCTAGGCCCACTTTGGGCTGGGCCACCCCTGTGCTAAATTCTCATTCTTTTCTATTTCTGTCTGACAGGAGAACAGCTCCTCAAGCCAGCATATGGATGACCTGTTTGACATTCTTATTCAGAGCGGAGGTAATACACTGATTCACCAGCTGTCTCTCCCCTCCTCTGGTCATAGGTTGTCTATATTCCTAGGTTGGTGATTTGTTTATCTCAGAATAGCAGGCCTAGGTGGCAGTTACTGTGGATATAGCAGTGACTGAGACACACACAGCCTCAAAGGCCTGGGCAGGCACAGTCCTTTGACCCATGGTTGTTTTATCTTAATTTTACTTAAGATCTGCTCAGCAGGACCTCAGTGGCCACCAGAACATATCAGTGAACACGACAGAAGGTGTGGGGGAGAGAAACAGTGACTATAGTAAGCCAAGTATATGGGTGGAAGGAGTAGGTGTGACAATGCAAGGAAGGGCTGGGGAGCACAGAGGACCAGGGTAACCCTCCAAAAGGGGACTGGTGTGGAGCCTCCAGAGGCGCGTACTGGCATGTTGGAGCTGTGGAGTGAGTGGAAAGAGGGCAGGAAGTCAGGTCACAGCCAGATCATTAGGACCCACAGGCTCTGAGTGAAGCATGCCTAGCCTGAAGTTAGTGGCTGAATGTGGCTCAGGGTCTTTCTGCTGTAGTAATTGTGGCCACACAAGGGCAGCAGGGAGCAGTGAGACCAAAGTGGTTCTAGACAGGTAGGGCCTGGGCATGGGTAGCATGTTGAGTTAGGTGCCCTTGTGGATCAGAGGTGTGGAGTGGGGAAGAGCAGTGGAAGATCACTCCAGGGCAGTGGCCTCAAGCTCCATGAATGAAGTAGTCTTCGCCATGGGGGCACATGTGGGCACAACCCCCAGTTGGGTTTACATATGTCAGGAAACAACACGTGGCAGTTGGAGAGGTCTGGGCTAGAGGCAGAGAAGTTGGGAGTTGTCAGCTTCTGGATTGGCAGGAGAGCCATGAGATCAGTGACGTCCAGGGAGTGAGGCTGATGAGCAGAGCCCTGGCTTCTGTGGGAGAGGGACAAGCAAATGGGTCAAACAGTGGGCAGAGGTGACGTCCTGAGGCTGCTGGTGGGGAGCCCACTGAGGACAGCCAGGAAGCTGGGTGCTGATCAGAGACCTGGGCCTGAGCTTCCCAAGTCGCTGTGTCCAGAACAGACATTGGGAGGGATGCAGCCACCAGAAGTAAAGAGTATTTGAGGAGGGAAAAGGGTGGCCTTGAACATTTAAGGGATGGTAGAGAAAAGGAAATGAGAGTGCTGCCTGTCCCCAAAAGGTACACAGAAAAATGACCAGGGAAGTGGCAAGGATGCACAGAGAAGAGTACTTTGAAAGGGGCAGATAACAGGCTGGACAGATGAGGTAGAGGATCATCTGATGAAGCAGCTGCAGGGGGAAGAATGGTTCAGCTGGACAGGAAGGGACCTAGAGGGTCAGGCAAGCCTGGTTTCTGTGTAATCTTTTTTTATTATTGTGTAAAGTATATATAACAAAATTTATAATTCAGTGACATAATGCACATTCACAGAGTTATGCAGCCATCACCACTACCCACGACTAGAACATTCTCATCATCCCACACTGAAACTGCACCCCTTACACAACCCCTCATCACCCCCATTCCGTTCTCTTTGACTCTGACTACTGTAGGGGCCTTGGGTAAATGGAATCATGCAGTACTTGTCTGTGGTTGACTCATTTCACTTAGCTAACATACTGTTCTCAAGGTTCATCCACTCATCCACCAGTGGACACTTGGGAAGCCTCCACCTGTTTTAGCTGTTGCAAATATGCTTTTGATCATGAGTGTACAAACCTTTCTTTGAAACCCTGCTTTCATTTCTTTTGGGTATTAACCCAGGGGTGGGATTGCTGGATCATCTAGTGGTTTTACGTTTGTTGTCCGAAGTGACTAGCATCACCTGATTTTACACATTGGTTCACAACGGTTCCATCTCATCCTTCCATCATCTGCTTTTCTGGTGCTGGGGATGGAACCCAGGCCTCATGTGTGCTCCTCATACGCTGTACCACTGACCTGCCTGCCCCTCACCAGCACCAGTCCTCTGTTCTGATAGTAGCCACTTCACTGGGTAAGAGGTGGCATCGCATGGTTTTGAGTTGCATGTTCCTAATTAGCGATGTGCTATTGACCATTTGTATATCTGCTTTGGAAAAAATGTCTAAGTTTCTTTGCCCATTTTTGAATCAAGTTTTTTTGTTATTAAGTTTTAGCTCCCCACATATTCTGGGTATTAATCCCTTATAATGTATGATTGTAAAAAATTTCTCCCATCCTGGGAGAAGCCTTTTTTTTTTTTTTTTAAAGCAGTACTGGGGTGGAGCTCAGGGCCTCGTGCTTGCTAGTAGGCATACTGCTACTTGAGCCACTCCACCAGGCAGGCCTTTTTGTGTTGGTTAATTTTGAGACAGGATTTCACTTATGCCTGGGGGACATGGACTGCAGGCCTCCTATTTGTGGTTCCTCATGTAACTGGGATGACAGGCATGCACACTGCATTGAGACTGGGGGGGCAGATGGGTGTTTCGCAAACTTTTTTTGGCTGGGCCAGCCTGGCACCACCATTCTCCCAATCTCTGCTCCTAAGTAGCTGGATTACAGGCTTGAGCCACTGCAACTGGCTCAAGAAGCCTTTGACGTCAAGTTTGTGTTTTGGTGGTTTGTTTTGTTTTTCCTTCTTTTTTTTTTTTGATGTAGTGGCATATGCTAGGCAAGTGTTCAGCCAAGGTTTAGATTTTGATGTTGTCTAATTTGTCTACCGGGCTTTTCATATCACAACTAAGAAACAATTGCCAAATCTGTCAAAAAGATTTTTCCATGTTTTCTTCTAAGCATTTCAGTTTTAGCTCCTACATTTAAGTCTGTAATCTAGTTTGGATTTCGTTGTGGTATGAGGTAAGGGTCTTCTGTCATCTTTTGCAACTAGTCAGGCCTGGTTTCTGACACCATTCACTGTCTCTATGGCAGAAATTTCAGCTGATTTCAAGGAGCCATCATCCCTTCCTGGGAAGGAGAAGCCGCCCTCAGCAGCAGCCTGTGGGTCCCCCCTGACAGCACAGACCTCACCCTCCACCAAGCTCTCCCAGAGTGCCCCGCCTCCACCAGGCTCTCCCTCTCTCCCAGGGCGTCTGGAGGACTTCCTGGAGAGCAGCACAGGGTTGCCCCTGCTGACCAGTGGGCATGAAGGGCCAGAGCCCCTTTCCCTCATTGATGACCTCCACAGCCAGATGCTGAGCAGCTCTGCCATCCTGGACCACCCCCCGTCACCCATGGACACCTCAGAATTGCACTTTGCCCCTGAGCCCAGCAGTGGCATGGGCCTGGGCCTGGACCTGGCCGATGGCCACCTAGACAGCATGGACTGGCTAGAACTGTCGTCAGGTGGCCCAGTGCTCAGCCTGGCTCCACTCAGCACCACAGCCCCCAGCCTCTTCTCCACGGACTTCCTCGATGGCCACGATTTGCAGCTACACTGGGATTCCTGCTTGTAGTCCTCTTGACTCCAGAGACGGGGTAGGGAGGGCTGGAAGCTGAGAAGTCACAGAACTGTATCTAGTGTGGCACTGTATGTGGTTGTGAGTATTGACAATCACAGTCCTTGTTCTTTCCTGTCCCTGGAGGCTAGAGAAGAGGGCCCCAATGTCCAGCTCAGGAGTGCCCAGGGCTGAGGACAGAAGCTGTCCAGCAGCAACTCTGGGTCCCATGCCAGGGTCAGTTCAATTCGACCTCCTTTTCTGAGGTCAGAGGTGCACAGCTGGCTTTAGTTTGGCTGGGGCGAGTCACAGGCCAACTGTCCCCCTTTCACTGTGAGGGAATAAACTAGCTTGGACTCTTCTCCCCAGGTCTCAGCTTTTGAGGCTTCCTGAAAGAGGGCTCTTTGCCAGTTCAGTGACTTGGTGTAGTATAACCCTTTTAGTGGTTGGTGGCAAAAATTTTCTGTACAGGTGTATATATACCTCTATATTATATGTCAACGTACCTAACGTGGTGAGAGGTGGGTGCAGCTCCCTTCCCCTCACACACAGAAAGCCTGGAGGGCTGAAACTGCTGGGGGCTGGATGCAGGGGCCCCTTAGCTGTGTGACCAGCCTGACATGCAGCTACCCAGGCCTACTCCTCACGTGTGCTTGAACATGTAGACACCCTGCCATGACCTGCACCCCACCTGCCCTGTTCCTGGCTCCTTAGTGCCACAGCAGAGGTGCTTCCTGGACCTCCCTCCAGGAACTCCACCTGCCCACATTCCATCGCCTCACTGTAGCCAACATGGTCCTGGGAGAGGAACACCATTTCTAGATGGCAAGGAAACTGGCCACCTCCTGCCCTAGGGCCACAGGCTTCCTTCTGGCCTGATTCATTAAAGAGTAGGGATGGCATCACCAAAACTACTGCTGGGACAAAGGTGGGGAAACAACTGTGTGAACTTTTTAAAATAAAAAAAAAAATGCTGACTTTGTCAGTCTTCTTTCGTCCCATGCAAGGGTAGGCTGACTGGGAAAGTAATTCAGAAAAGGCCCCAGCAGCCAGAACATTTGAGAAGGAGCAGCTAGACATGCAAGATCTGCATTCCTGGATGAAAAGAAGATGGGAGGCAGTCTTGCAAGGGCAGTTTATTTACAAACCAAAAGGGTCAAGAGACCTTCATCTGGCACCCAATCCCCACCTTCCTGAGAAAAGACACATGTGCCTCTCCACCTCCTCACAAGGTTTTTGGTTGGTATGAACTGTATGGCTGGCACCCAGGGCTTCCTTCAGGACCTGAGCAGGACCAACCCATGCTCAGGAGGGAGCAGCTGAGCAGAGCATCCACCTACTGCTTTTATCAACAGCAAAACGTGGAGTGGGGGGCCCCGGACCCCACAGCTTAGGGGGCCTGGGTCACCTCAGCCCTGTCCCAGAGCAGGCCTGCAGCGGATTAGGGCACCGCCCTCTTCCTGTTGGTGGGAGACGCCTGCTGGGTAGCCAATGACTGGGGGAGGTGTGGGTGCCACAGGGTGGCTAGAGGGGCATCACCCATCAATGTCCCAGCTGAAAAGGTGGTGCTTCACCAGCATGTCCTGGACACCCTCCTTCAGTGGTTGCTTCTCCTCCTGTGCACAGGACAGACCCTCAGTCACAAGCTGGGGCAGCCTTTAGAGCTGATGGGGCACTTTGGAGGCCTTCCTGGACGCCCCCCCCCAACCAAACCACCCCCAGAACTGATCGGGGTGCTCCCAGACTACCCCACCCCACCCAACACACACACACCTCTCTCTTCACAGGAAGTTCCCAGTCCTGGGAGAGGCTGAAGGCAAAGCAGCAGAGGACACTGGGAGGCGAGGGGGAGGCTCAAATCACCCTGGGCAGCTCTGCCCACCTGCTGCCTCCACTGCCCAATCCCAGGCTCAGTAGAGCCTCCCAACCAGGAGCGAGGCTGGGTCCTCACCGGAGCTCACACTTGATCTGGACCCAGCCAGGGCTGCGCAGGAAGGACCAGGGCTGATACCACTTCTCCACGGTGGGCAGGCTGGAGCAGAGAACCTCCAGCCACAAGTGTAGCACCTGCTCACTGGGGACAAGGCTGGGAGGAAGGTGGGGCCATGGCCCGGGGAAGCCCCAACCTGAGTAGCTCCTGGGAACCCCCTTGGGTAAGGACAGGCCTCAGGCAGGGGACCAGAGTCCAAAAGGTCCCTCTGTCCTGCAAGGGTTCCTCTAAGGGCCCCTTCCCCACACCCTTCTATACTTACTTGAGCCCCACGCAGATCAGAGAGCGGAGCTTGACATCCATTTGTGCGTGCACTGCATCGTGGGTCACGTTCACAGACTGCACAGCCTGGGGAGAACATGACCGTCACTTGGGCACCCCACCCGCCACCAGAGAGGTCTCAGGGCTGGCAGACAGGCCCAGCTTACCCGGTATAGCAGCTCTTCTGGGGTCAGGACTTTGCCATCTTCATCCAACCTGGGGGGACCAAAGCTCTAGCACTGCCCGTGTGCTGGGCACTGGTCAGGCCTCCCCACACAGGACTCACCAGAGGTGTGGGCAGGGCCAGTTACCTGTATGTCTTGCACAGCACTAGGCGGGAATACACGGAATCAAAGTCTCTCTCCACCTCCCGGCCTGCTGCCTGTGGTAGCCAGGACAGTGCAAGTATGGGGACAGTGAAAGGCCCGGTCAAAGCCACCGGGTCCAAACAAGCACACAACACTATGCAATGAGCCCAGGAAAAGGAAGAGCCTGAGGTGGGCACCTTTGTGCCTTCAAGGCTCAAGCAGTGACTTACCTCCTCGATAAACAGCCAAGGGTGGCAGGCACCTCCAAGCAGGGATGGCTTCTTCAGTCCATGTTCGAACAGGGCCTTGAGCGCTGGGCAGAGGGTCCCTCGCACCAGGTCCGTGACCCCCTCCGTGACAGAGTCGTCCCCCGCAATGGAGTACTGATGGTGGGAACGGGCTGAGACGCCTCAGACCAGCACCTGCAGCCAGCTACCCTCTGCCCATCCTCACATCCACTGCCATAAGCCGGGACTCATGGGGACCCAGTGGCGCTGCTGCACCAGGGCTTGAAGCAGGAGCAGCTCCTAGGGACAGCCTCATCTTGCCCACCCTCTTACCTCTTTGCTCCGTTCATCCAAGACCTCCACGAACTTGGCTGGGAACCAGCCTGTGGGAGAAGCATGCACTGAGGGGCAATGATGGCTGTCCCAACTCTTGCCCCCAGGGTCCAAGGGCAGGGCGCTCTTTGAGCCACCTGGAGGCAAGGTGGGGCAGGCCAAGGAAAGTCCAGCTCCCTCAGAAGCCCCAGGGATCTGCATCTGGGCAGGCCGTAAAGGAAGAAGGGCAGGGTTGCAACAAAGGTGCTCACATCTTTCCCGCCAGTGCCCGCTCACCTCTCAGGCCGTTCAGCTCACCCACCCAGCAGTGCTCATCCTTCTGAGAAACGATCTGCGCAGGAGGGACAGCAGAGCAGCGCTCGGTGCCCACACACACCCTGACACCCTCAGCACAATTTTCAGAAGCAGCTCTTGGCACGGAAAGGGGGGAGTGGGGAGTGGGCATGGGGCAAGCGTGCTGAGGGCTCCCACGTTACCGTAATGATGTCATTTTTGCGGAAGCCCAGCTCATCATCGTCGTGTCGCTCAAAGTCCAGCAGGGCTTTGGCCCGGCGTCTGTGGCTGCGCAAGCATGCCACATAGTTCTCGTGGTCCCGCTGGTGGCTCTCCATGCTGTAGTCGGGGGACAACTCCTACCAGGCAGGACAGAAAGGCCCAGCATGAGGGGACGAGGGGGCCTCAGAACCAGGAACGGCTGGGAAAAGAGCCCCCAGACAGACATGAGGAGCCTGCCACTTACCACGCCACAGATTTTTGGGTCTGTGCACTGGAAATGGCGTGCCACGCGCAGGACGGCTTCCCGGAGGTCAGCCACCAGTTCTGTCTGCTTGATGTTCTTGGCCTTGAGAGCCTCCAAGTCATCCTCCCCTAGGAAGCACAGACAGCTGCAGTGACCAGTCCTGTCCAGCCTCTGGTGAGGGAGAGCAGCTGGGCAGCGGTGCTCACCAAAGAGCAGGGAGGTGATGGCAGACTTCCTCCGCTGGGTCCTGCGCCGAACAACCTGCAGGTGGGTAAGGTGGGTCAACAGCGGCAGGAGGACACTTGCCTGCCGGTATCTCACTTGTGCTAGGGCATCTGCAAGCCCTGAGGCCAGCTCTGAGGTCAGAGTATAATTAGCTCAGGGATGGAGCTGTCCTCCTTCCAAACTGCCTGCCTTGGAGCCTGGGGACCACCCCGCCATGGAGAACCAGGTCAACTCTAGCAGTGGTCTGACTGGGTCATGCCAGGCCCTGGGTGCTGAGCTAGGGTGGGGGGGTGGAGGGAGGCACGGCAGAGAAGGACCAGTCTCTGTTTCCCACAACTCCTCACTTTGGGCTTTCTTGGGGACCCCATGCTGTTGGCTGAAACAGGCACCCCCTACTCAGTCCACCTGAGAGAGGTTAGTGGTGGTGCTGGTCCCCAGGAGCTGGCCCTGGTCTGCAATGAGGTAGGCCAGGTGCTTGCGACGCTGGGTCTCCACGGCCACATCAGTGAGGGAGCCGGCCAGCCGCATGGCCTCCCCCAGCAGCAGCTCTGCGTCCCGAATCTGCGCTGGGATATCTGACAACGTGTTGAAGATGGAAGCCGAGTTCTCTGACTCAATCAGCTCCTCCTCCTGTGCCGATTGAGGGCAAGGATTGGCAGCCAGCATAGTCCCTTTGGGACCTGTGCCATCCCACTGGGCCCAGGGAGACCCCCTAGCCCACCACACACTCAGATGACATTCAACAGGGACCAGGGCTCAGGCCACACCATGCTGAAGCCTGACCTGGAGCAAGATGGAGGGAAGGGGACAGGCCTGTGCCTACTGCTATACCCTCAGGGCCTGGAGCCCACCCTGTCTACCCAGGGGAAGGTATCAGAGCTGCTGGCCTGGCACTCAGGTTCCTGTTCTTGGCCTGGAAGCCAGGTGGATAGGGTTTGACGAGCACCTTAAGGCGCAGCATGCCCAGCGTGGTCTGGAAGAGCACCAGGGAGCCCTCATAGAAGAACAGGTCCCAGATGCGCAGCAGCAACCTGATGTGCACCACGCTGGCAAAGGCCGTGAGGAACCAGTGCAGTGTGATCAGGGACAGCTCTGCAAACAGATTCCAGAGTCACTGGGGCTGAGACCAGGGGCAGCCTGGCTGGGGGCAGCCTCAGTAAGAGGGGCAAGATAACTCTTGCAGAGCTGCAAGAGGGAGAGGGGAAGGGAACGGGTCAGAGAATGCCAGAGAACATGAGCAACGCAGACCGCTGGTGCCTGTGTCCACAACTTGGCTATCTGCCCTCTGCTGTCCAGAGGCCTCAGAGTCTGGGCCTGTAGAATAGCATAGTGGTCAGCCTCACCGATATCATGTTCCTGGAGCAGCTTGTCCAGGCGAGGCAAGTACTGGACGATGAGGTGGCGCAGGACCCGCTGGTCGGTTTGGACACCCAGCAGGGTGGTGCTGAAGTAGGAGGCAGGGAGCAGGTCCTCAATAATGGCACACATCATCCAGAAGGCATCCTCCTCCTCCAGGAACAGCAGGAGACAGGCAGCGACCTGTCAGGGTTGGGGAGCAGGGGCTTCTATCCAAGTCTTCAGGCGAGTTAGAGAAGATTTCCCCTTGGAGGCAACTTCTCAGAAGAGCCCCCTGAAGGCAGTTAGGCTTGTAGATGGAGGCCTGCTGCATTCCAGGCCCCAGGCCCCTGCCTGACAACAGAAGCAGCTGCTCCTGTGGACTCCCAAGTTGACCCCTTGCCTCCCATCCTACTCCCCTGAAGGGAGAAATCATACCCTACCAGGAGGACTGGAGAAGGCCTTATGTACACCCCTTGCTTGCTGGGGCAGCTCACCATGCCTGTGCCCTGGCAGTAACCAATCTCCGGGTAGAGCCAGGCCAGTGCTCTGAGGACCCTGCGCAGGCGGGGCACCCCGATGCTGTTCACGTTGGCGAAGCAGGCATTGCTGGGCATGGTGCGGAGCAGGTCCTTCTCAATCTGTCAGGGACCCCACCAACCCCCACAACAAGGCCCAGTGAGATGCAGCTGCAGACAGATGCCTGGTCTGTCTGGGTTTGAGGCAAACCCCAGGGCAGGTTCTGTCCTGGAAGGAGGGATTTCTTGTGTTCCTGGTCGTGGTTACCCTTGTCTCTTCAAGATTAGATTCCATCCTTTGCCTGGGAACTTCATGCCTGACCTTCTGAATAAGCACATCTGGCCCAAGGCCTGATCTGTATTTAAAATCCCCCACTGTTCCTAATGTGGACCCCATCTCCTCTGTGTCCTTCCACATACAGGCCTTTTGGACAAATCTCTGTAGCCCATGAAAGACCCAGGAGAGAGCAGGTTTCCTCTAGGATCATGTCCACGGGCAACAGGGCTGTTGGCCCTGCCATGGAGACCAACAAAGGCACATTCCCAAAGCCCCAGGTGTATCTCCCTCCTGAGGCCTGCATGGGCTCTGGCCAGACAGCTCCTGATTGGCCCCTCTGCTGCCCATGTCACCTGTTTGGCAGCGATGGTCTCATCATTGGAGCTATTCTTCACAATCTCACGGTAGGAAAGCTCGGAGCTCTTCTTTTTCTGCAGGGCCCCTGACAGCCGCATCCACAGCTGAGGGAAGGAGTCATACAAGTATTTGGCCTTTCTCATGACAGCTGGTCACAGGTCAGGGTGCTCTTGACCCTCTGTGGGTCCCTGTGGCTGTCTCACCTGTGGCCTCATACCATGTGGGATGCCAGCCAGTACCAGGGAGCGAAGCTTCTCAGAACGAGGTAGAGAGACTGCAATCTTGTCCCAGGTAAGATCCCCTACGTCGTGGTTATGGGTAAACTCCAGGTGGGCCTGCCACCGCAGCCTCTGAGGGGGGTCCTCCACCAGAGGTGCATCTGTCAACAGGCTGCACCCAGGCTCAGCACCTTCCAGGAGAGAGCAGAGGAGGAGAAAAGTGGACTCCTCATTCCACACTGCCTCAGGAGCCCAACCTATCCTGTCAGGCCAGGTGGCTCCCCTAAAATGCAGACTCCACTGCCTACGGCGTCCTGGGAGCTCCAGCTGCACAGCCCTGCTGACTGACCTGAGCCTCCCCAAAGCCACTTCACATCCAGAAACCACACCTCTGGCCTCCCCTCAAATGTAGAGTCACCTTTGGCTCCTCCTTCCCCCAAACTCCACATTCAATCCACTGCAGATGCAGCAGGGTTCCCTACTTACCTCCCCTGACTACTTGCCCAGGCCAAGCCACACACCTCTGTCTGGGTCAGGGCAGTGGCCATCTAGCAGCCATCTTGTTGCCCCCACAATAATCACAGTGGCCCTTCCAGGACACATATCAGGTCATGTGACGAGCTAGCAGATATCCTCTGCTCAGAACCCACTCATGTTGTCAATTTCTAAGCTCCATCATTTGCCTCTTCCAGCCCTGCCCCTGTCCTTACCTCCAACCACTTTCCTCTTGCTCCCTTCTTGTTCTTCCCCACTAAATCCGCTCCCTCTTAGTCTCTGCACCTGTCCTTTCCCCAGCTCCCTCCCTCACTCGCCTCCTCCTAGTTTTTATTCAATTGTTGACTCAGATGTCTTTCATGACCACCTTAGGTACAATTCACCTCCCCTTTTCGCTATCCCTAAGGTTATCTTCACGACTCTCCTTGCCCCTAGCATGCTCTATGTTTGCTATTTACTGCCTGTCTTCTTTCCATGTGGTCAAAAACACTTTTGGGGGATACAACTGGGAAGAACGCAACCCACTGCAACTTTGTGAAATACTTGTTGAATGCATGAGGACAAAAGGTTCTTTTGTGGCTACCCAGCAATTGGTGTGGTGAGTTCTGACTAGAGAAAGCCTACACCTCATTTATACTAAAGCCAAGCTCTTATCCCAGCTCTTAAAAATATCAGCCTAGGGCTGGGAATATGGTCCAGTGGTAGAATACTTTTCCTAGCACATATGAGGCTCTGGGTTTGATCCTCAGTACTGGAAAAAAAAAAAAAAAAAAGGCAAGGCTCTTTTTTGTGTTTTTGAGACAAGATCTCAGGCTGGCCTTAAACTTGTGATCCTCCTAGTGGTGGGATTACAAGCTGCACCACCAAGCTTGACTCTCAAATGTTACATTCCTGACACCACTAAAAAAAAAAAAAAAAAAAAACCTTGGTAATTTTATATACAGAAAAATGCGTATGTCTTAAATACACATTTTGATAGGTGTCAATAAACAAATGTTTATGCATGGCTCCACAGTGTGACTGTTCCACTTTGGACTCTGAATCCAGTGGCCTATCAAGACACAGATGATTTCCATCACTAGAAAGTTCCCTATGTCCCTCTCAAGCTCATTTTTTTTTTTTTTTTTTGGTGTGGTACTGGGGTTTGAACTCAGGGCCTTCACCTTAAGCCACACCATCAGCCCTAATTTTTTGTGAAGGGTTTTTTTTGAAATAGGGTCTCTTGAACTATTTGCCCAGGTTTTCTTCAAACCAGGATCCTCCTGATCTCTGCCTCCCAAGTAAGCTAGGATTATAGGCGAGAGCCATTACTGCTTTTATTATCAATAAAACTTATCTACAAAAAAAAAACAGCAGATATTCCATGTACCTAAAATAGCACCACCCTCAGATACACTCTGTCCTTAGACTCCCAGAGCTCAGAGGTCACATGCTGTGAAATCTGAGTCCTCCCCAAGGACATCAGCAAGACCACACATGATGGGCTCCATCTTACCTTCTTTGTCCACGCGGAAACCAAACTCATCGTAGCAGAATTCCAGTTGCTCTGCCGACTCTTCTTGCTGCAACCAAGATTAGAAAGGAAGGTCATTTACCTCAGTCTGGAAATCACTTTCCAAAAAGATGTCACCCACATGGCTAACTGCTAGAAGTCTATCCAGATCAAAGGCCATCCTTCCATAAAGCCTTCTCTTGTTATCATTCAACTATAAGAGTTACCACCTTCTCTGAATTATCCTATGCCCCCACAACATTCCTCCTTCCTCCTACCTAATGACGGATTCATACAAGCACATGGAGTTATGATGCCATCTCTTAGTAACCCTGTGTGAACAAGGTGGAGTTGACCACGCACTCCCAGAAGGCCTACAGAGGTGAGTGTAGGTTCCTTCATGCCACAGCATGGGAGCACAGCAGGCTGACATCTAGCTATACTAACTGCTTTACCTGTGTGCACTTGGCCAAGATCTCTTGGGGCCATATGCTCGGAGTCAGGGCTGAGAAGGGACCACTGGCAGAAGGTATGTGGCTTTCTACAACCAGAGACACCAAGGACAGAAGAAAAATCAAGAAAATGCAGAGGCAAAATTCAAGTTAGATATCTCCTCCCTCTCCCAGAGCACCAGCATGAAAGGAACTGGATATCTAGAGTGGGACAGGTGGGGGAGAAGAGTGGAAGAAACCTCAAGAAATGAACCCACTTCTGGGAAAGGGGACAAAGCAGCAGCATGTTCAAAATATAACCAAACTTGGTCTCCCCCCACCTCAGAATTTGAAGAAAGAATTTGAAGGCTGGTGAGGAGGGAAAAAGGGGAGAAGAGGCTGGAGACCTGAATAAAAATGAGTTTCGATCATTGTTCCCAGAGATCCTGAAGCTCTCCCCCGCACACATTCTCCGCTGTGCTTTGCTCTTATCTGGATGGTTCCTTATGAAAACCAGAAGCCAGGGTGGGAGCACTCCTGGCGAGCGCAGGCCCTGCCTCTACCTGACATTGTGTTGAGTGGCTGGCCAGCAGGTCTTCTGCAGATTCAGGCTTAGAGTTCACGATCCAGATCTCCAACAGCTGGAAGGCTCCTCAGGCTTCATCTGCTCTAGAAACATCTGCCACGACAGCAAAGGGTGTCATTCCATAGCACCCTTCTCTCCTGAAAGGAGAATCTCTCCAGGCACATGCTGCTTTTGCTGGCCCAGTGCAAAAGGAAGGGGTCCTGACCACTGTTCAACAAAGGCCACTCCCATTTTTAAATTGGGGCTATTGGTCGTTTTATTTTTGAGTCCTTTTTTAAGAGGACAAAAGGAGTAGGAAGAGGAATCTAAAAGGAAAAGCCTCCTATTCTGAACATTTCATCTGACAGAGTGCACTTTGAAGCTACAGAACTGGTGTTCTCAACAGCTTTGTGACAGTGGGACACCACTTGACAGCCAGGAGGATGGCTGTGACAAAAATAAAAAATAAAAAAATGCTAGCAAGAATGCGGTAAAACCGCAATATCTTGTACACCGCTGCTGTGGAAAACAGTTTGGCAGTTCTTCAAAAGGTTTAAACATGGAATTACCATGTGAACCAGCAATTCCACTCCTAGGGATATATTTCATTTTTCCACTCTAGGAAAAATGAAAATAGGGGCTGGAGGTAAAGCTCAGCAGTATAGCACTTGCCTAGCATGTATGAGGCCCTGGGTCCAATCTCCAGAACCACCACCCTCTCTCCAAAAAAAAAAAAAAAAAACTGGGTGCTGGTGGCTTATGTCTGTAATTCTAGCTCTCTGGTCTGTATTATGAATGAGGACATGGGATAGAGAAAAAAAATGGAATACTACCTATGTCTGACATCCAAGGTTATGAGAATTAAGTGAGATAATAACAAACAAGGTCCTCAGTACACTGTTTGCCCTTGTAAGTATCATCCAATTAGTCCTGCTAATTTCGAGAAAATTGCTACTAGCTAGGCTCCGAGTATTGTAATACACTAAAAAGCTGTTACGTTAAGCCATATGAAATTGCTGATATATCTAAGACAAAAACAATGTCATACAGTGATCATAAGAAAGATTCATCACCCATGACCCCAAAAGAGTTGTTTCTTCTGGAGGGCAGAGCAAAATCATGGAGTCCTGAAGTGCAGGCAATAAGCTACCTCTGCTGTGGAGGATGGAGGTTGGAGGAGCTAGGAAGTAAAATTTCAGTGCTTCCCTTTTCAGACCTTAGTCACCTCCCACTCATTCGTCATTTAGCAAACAATGACTGAGTACTATAACCAGGCTCTAAGCTGCAACACAACAGTGAAAATGGAGGTCTGGCTGCTCTATAGTAGTAGAGAGTCAGACAAGAAACAAAGACAGACAATGATAGCTGCAGTAACATGAGAGAAGCAAAATTATGGGGAATACCCAAAGAGAGGAGCTACTTATGCCAAGGGGCCAGGAGAAGTCATTTCAGGATAAGGTAACATCTGAGCGAAGACTAGAAGGAAGCAAGGCTGAGGGGGAGGGGATCCAGGTAGAAGGTATACCAAGTGCAAAGCCTTCAAGACAGGAGCACACCTGGCAGGTGGAAGGCAGGCAGTAGGCTAAAGGGGCCTGGGCATGGGGAGAAGAGTGGGAGAGCAGCGTCTGCAGAGGGTAGGGAAGAACAGCAGGACCATGGAGACCCCACAATAAGCAGGCTTTTGGACTCTATCTTCAGGAAGCTGGGAAATTAGGGAAGGGTTCCAAACAGCCACAACCCAAATCTGACCTGCATTTTGACAAGTTCCTTCTGGGAGGCAGTGGGCACAGAGGAAGTGCTTATGCTGGGCAAGGTGAAAGATGAAGTGCTATAGTGGGAGCACTAAGAAATGATCAGGTTCTAGATATATTTTAAACAGTCTGCAAGATGCAGCACTAGGCTTTAAGTATATTTATATATGATTTATATGTTATATACATAAGAATATATAACATGACTTCTCCAACAGGCTGCCCTTCAATCTTCCAACAGGGAGCAGATATGATACTGCTAAACTGGGAAAGCAAGTTTTTCTGCCTCTGGTCACTATGGAAACCTTCCTGAAAGCAGTCTTCTGGGAATTGGCAAAACCTGCCCAAGGAGTTAGCCACATCACCTTCACACTGGCTGCACTCCTGTTGCACAGGAGTATCAAGAGGCAAAAACTTTGAAAAACCATGACCAATGCAGATACCTTTGAGATGCTCAGAAGGAACTTTAGAGATTAAAAGTGCCAGTCCTCTGACACTGACTCCAGCATGTTTCTCCCTACTTTGCCAATCCTACAATTTCCTGTTAGACAAATTTTGTTCACAACACAAGGACAGTCAGCGGTCACTATAAATCTGTGCATGTTCTTTTGAGTATACTGGGGGTAAGAAAGGTTCTGTCCATTCCATGTCCTCCTGATACAGATGAAAGGAGTGTGGTTCCTCACTCTTGACCTACAGTTCTTTCCCATCTCCCATGTTCCTTAACAACATGGCAGGGCTGCTACAGTGCTGCTGTACAGTTGTTTTTCTGCAGACATTTGTCAGCAAACACAAAGGTGGTAAGCAGCACAAGCAAAAACACTTGGATTTTAGCGGCTGCTAATACCTGAAGATGACTTTTTCTCTGTGAAGAGGTGAGGAGGCACAAAAGCTACTGATAACAACTAACCTGGCAAAAGGTGTCCAGAGCCAGGGAAGTCTGAGAAAGGCTGAAGTAAGAGGTTAATGTGAGTGCTAGGGAGGCTGTGGTAAGATTGTGAGGCCAGCCTGGGATACACAGAGAGACCCTGTCTCCAAAAACCAAAAAAATGCCAGGTACCGGTGGCTCATGCCTATAATCCTAGCTATGTGGGAGGCTGAGATGTGAAGGATCAAGGTTCAAGGCCAATAGGGGCAAATAGCTGAAGAGACTCCCTCTCTAAAATAACTAGAACAAAATGGGCTGGTGGAGTGACTTAAGTGGTAGAGCGCCTGCTCTGCAAGCTTGAAGCCCTGAGTTTAGACCCAGTACCACCACTAAAAAAAAAATAAATAAATAAAAATAAAATCAGATAAATGCGCAACAGAAATGAACATCACTTAGAAAACAAAGGGAAAAGTATACTTTTTCCAAAGTAAAGGTTAAAAATACTAGTGTTCCTGGTTTTTCTCCTTGGATTCTAGACTTCAACAGACCTGTAAGTCTCAGCCTCTTGCTCTTCTAACTCTGAGCTCTTCCTAGGCAATCTTGTCCCCTGCCAGAACTTCGACAACCACCTTCTTCTAGGGACACCCTTTTCCCAAGCTCCAAACTCTACTGCCAGTTGCTTCCTACTACTGAAGTTATCTTTCTTACAGGCAAATTGGATCCGTGCATCTCCTGCTTCATTCTCAACATCTTGCTACCATCCCCAGAGTGAGTTCTATGTTCTCTGATGATGTGAGGTTCTACAGAGTCAGGCCCCATTCCCACGCCATGTTCCCCTCACACCCTACACCCTCCTCATACTCTAGTGGGCCCACTTCCATCAGTGGCCCAAATGCACTGCTCTCTCTGCCTCCATCCTTTGATCTCTAAAGGTCTTCTCTTTGTCTGCTCAACAGATCCCTAAGTCATATGAAGAATTCGGCTCAAATAACACCTCAGCTGAGGAAATGGAGCTGAGAATGTGAGTTGTTCAAGGCACCTTGAATATGTACAGCAGAGAACTGGAGAGGTGAGAGATGCACCAAGACCTGAAAAGGGTGCCCAAACACCTTTATCTGAAAACCACACAATTCAAGGTGGGGAAAAGAAGCAGGATTAATAATAGCTGAAGTATACCCCACTTAGTTGTGATGACATATTATCCTTTTTATGCACTGTGAAATTCAATTTGCTACAATTATGTTAAGAATTTTTGTTTGTTTTTTGAGACAGAGGCTCACTATGTGACCCAGGCTGGCTTCAAACTCACAATCCTCCTGCCTCTGCTTCCCTAATGCTGGAATTACAGATATGTACCACCATGCCCAGCTACAGTTTTCCTTTAAAGCAATGCCTTTTTCTTAGTATCAGAACAATTTCTAATTATAGAATGTAGAATGAGTCTAGGTGTATTCCCTCTCTTCGACTTCTGGGAAGAATTTGTATAACAGAATTAATCTTATGTCTTCCTTAAATGTTGGGTAGAAATTACCAATGTAGTTCTGTGCTTAGAGTTCTCTTTTTCTTTTCTTTTCTTTATTTTTGGCAGGATTACAAACATGAGCCTCCAGCATCCGGCTTGAAGGAAACTCTTGATGTAGAATAGAGTTAAGGCAATCAGATACAAGCCAGTGTGACACAGGCTATAATCCTAGCTACTCCAGCAGCAGAGATCAGGAGGATTGTGGGTCAAAGCCAGCCAGGGCAAAGGGTTCATGAGACTCTATCTCAGAAATGCCCAACACAGCTGGGTGGGTGCCAAGTGACTCATGCCTGTAATCCTAGCTACTCAGGAGGCAGAGATCAGGAGGATCATGGTTCGAAGCCAGCCAGGGAAAATAGTTCATGAGATCCTATCTCGTAAAAACCCTTCACAAAAAAGAGCTGGTGGTGTAGTTCAAGGAGGAGGCCCTGAGTTCAAACCCCAGTACTGTTTAAAAAAAAAAAATGCCTAACACATAAAACAGGATTGGCAAAATGACTCAAATGTTAGAATGCCTGCCTAGCAAGTATGAGGCCCTGAAAAAAAAACAAAACTACAGCTAAGAAGAACATTAGATAAGAATACATCCTCCTTGAAGGCCTGAGGACAACAGTAGCAATGCAGCTTCTCCAAACCTTGCCTTCTTCCTCGGTGACACAGCCACTACTCACTACCTCAAATCCCTTTGCAGGATTTAATGTTTATACAAATGCAAGGAAAGCAAAAAAGGGCCGGGCGCTGGTGGCTCATGCCTGTAATCCTAGCTATTCAGGAGGCAGAGATCAAGAGGATCACAGTTCGAAGCCAGCCTGGGCAAGTATTTCTGCGAGACCCTATATCAAAAAACCTTTCACAAAAATAGGGCTGGTGGAGTCGCTCAAGGTGAAGGCCCTGAGTTCAAGCCCCAGTACCGCAAAAAAGGAAAAAATTTAAAAAAGGAAAGCAAAAATGGAAAGAAAGAAAGGGCAAATAACTTATCTATAACTGTGAAAAGGATTGCTTTCTCTCCATTTGTAACACTTCACTAACACAGCTAAAAGGTAAAGTCTGTCACTTTTCAAGTTATCGTAACAAATCTAAGTAATCACTGAAAAACGATTGACAACACCTTAAAACTAGGGTTACCAAGGCACAGTTTTTGCTTTTTAAAGGCGGAACAAAATTGCCAGGTGTCTTTACTCGGTGCAGCTACTTCCTATTATACTGAAAGCAAAAGGCACTAACAGCAACTCAAAGGAAAAGAGATGATTACAAAGAAGGGGATCTGAAAAGCACAGCAATCTACAAAACAGGTTCTGAGGGGAAAAAGATGCTACTTCCATCTCTGCTTTTACAGAAGGCCTGCATGTCTCCTGAGTTCTCTGCAAATGCCCAGTGGGCCATCTTTTATACTGAGAATGCAGTTAGATGCAAACACAGATGATAAACTTAAATTGTAGCAGGATAAATGTACCTATAGGACAAAGAAAATCTCCAGCCAGGCATGGGGGTGCAGATGTGTAATCTCAGCACTCAGGAGGTTGAGGCAGGAGGATCGCAAGTTCAAAGCCAGCCTGGGCTACACAGTGAGACCCTGTCAAAAAAAAGAAAATAAAGAAGGACCTGTTAAAACTATTCCAAGAATAGGGATGGAGGAATAAAGAATGAGGGAGGGGGTGAATTCAACAATGATGTATTGTAAGAACTTTGGTAAATGTTACAATGTACCCCAAGTACAACAATAATAAAAATAAATAAAAATAGAGAAAAGAAGGGGAGAGAGGAAGGGAGGGAAGAAAGAGAGGAAGGAAGGACAATCTCTGGATTATAATCAGTCGCTGTGTTTAATATGAGAAAGGAAGTTCTGAACACTCCTCTGAGTTTTATAATAGTTCACAAGCACAACAGTAATGAAAAAAAATTCTGGTGCTGTACATCTGTAATCTCAGCCCTTGGGAGGCTGAAGCAGGAAGGTCTTAGCCTAGGCTATAGGCTAAGAGAGAAAAAGATGATCTAAAGCCCAATTTAAGTTGTGTTGCTGTAAGGTAAAAGCAATCTTCAGGGAAGGATGCTTGCTGTATTCATAAGAGCCTTTCCTGTGCTTTGAGGGGAAATAAGACAAAAGGCCTGGAAGTAGGCATACTTGTTACTTTATAGGGTTGTTACCAGGATTAAGTGAGTTAAAATTTGAGAAAAATCTTGTAGAGTGTTGGGATTCTCACATAATGTGGGACACAGGTACTGTCTAAGACCATATAAATTAAATCTCAAGTGATTTCAGCTGAATCCTGCAAAAGTTTTATTGGTTTATGTCATTTCTTTTTATAAGTATATATAAAATGACTACTTTAAAAAAATACAAGGGCTGGGATGTAGCTCAAGCAGTAGAGCACCTGCCTAGAAGTGTGAGGCCCTGAGTTCAAGTAATATCAAAACAAAAAGGAAGGAAAAAAAAACCCCACAAAAGCTTCACTTCGGCAATGTCATGGAGTTTTCTGGCTTCCTGTTGTGTTTACAATCTTGTTCCTTCTCCCTTAAAGGATATCTTGATCAGTAGACCTCAAATTGCAGAATGTTTGCCATCTGCCTCTCTTGCGAATTCCTAGATGATGCCGATGCTCTTGATCTGGGAACACCCTTTGAGAACCACTGCTCTGAACTCCCTTTAGCCATTCTTCCAAATTCTAGTTCAGATGAGATCTTCTCTAACAAGCTTTCCCTTCTAACTCCCATGTTCTTCTTCCTCCTTTACCCGATAGAACTAATCACTGTAATGTTCTCACTGTGTCCTATTTCATAAGATACTGTCATTTGTTTCATCTGTTCACATACATGTCTATCTGCCTTGTATCCATATGGCAAGTGCTGACCGATGAATGGAGAGACACCAAACTCCTAGAGTTCTAATGTACAACATGCCTTTTCAAGTCCTATAGCTTGGTTCCTCATCCTTCCCTAAGAGTACCCCCACTTTACCTGAGTGCTCCTTGTTCAAGGCTCAGCTCAAGTATTACCTTCAACAAGCCTTCTTTGATACTTCCTCTGCCTCAGTTTGTGTGAGGTTCTCTTGCCCCTCTGTGCACCTAACCAACCTGTCTAGAGAATACTTCCTTAGCTACCATTAACTACTTGGCCTTCTATGTGCCAGGAATGCTAATAAGTAGAGCACAGTGGGATTAAAACCTTCAGAGACCCTGTGGCACAGCCATTTCCACTCCAAGAAATTTATCTTACACTTCAGCAGAATGACTCATTTACAAACTAATTCCCTACAGTACTGTTTGGTGAAAGCAAAATATGTGATGACAAAATACTAAAAAACTAGTATTTGCCAATGAAAGGGAACTAGTTAACAAATTATAGTACAGCTATATAGTGAAGTAGTATGCAGCTGTCAAAAAAGAACAGGGAATGCTCTCCAAGATGTGTTGCTTAAATGAAAAAAATAAAGCCAAACAGAATGTGAAAACATAAAAATGAGGGGACATTTTCACATAAAATATAGAAGGTTACATGTGAAAGAAACTGGGTAGCAAGGAGACTTTATACTTAATACTCTTCTGTGCATTTTTTTTTTTTTTGAAACAGGATTTCTCTATGTAGCCCAAGCTGGCCTCAAACTCATGACCATTCCTGCCTTAGCCTCCTCTTCTTCTTTTTTTTTTTGGTGGTACTGGAGTTGAACTCAGGGCCTCCTGCTTACAAGGCAGGTGCTCTACCACTTGAGCTATGCCCAAGCCTCTGCCTCAGCTTCCTGAGTACTGAGATTACAGATGTGCACCACCACACCTACTGTATGTTTTGATTTTTTTTTTTTTGGCGGTAGTAGGGCTTGAACTCAGGGCCTTACCTTGAGCCACTCTGCCAGCCCTTTTCTTGTGATGGGCTTTTTCAAGATAGGGTCTCTGGAACTATTTGCCTGGGGTGGCTTCGAACCATGATCCTCCTGATCTCTGTCTCCTCAGTAGCCAGGATTACTGGTGTGAGCCACCAACGCCCAGCCCTTTTGATTTTTGTACCAACTTAATGCATTACTTATCCAAGCAAATAAAGTTAAACTTGAAAAAAAATGAGACTTTTAGAGAGCCACAGAACAAAAGGGACTAGGTGCCCCCCATTTAATTCAACATAAAAATAAAATGAATATAAGATGACTCACTATGTTCCTATGAAATAGCCAATGTCAATTTCTATTTTCGCTTTTAATTTTCTGTCTCTGCTGTATTAGTGCCCTCACAGCTAAAGTGTCAATCAGCACTTCTAAAGTTCCTTAGATCCAAGGACTGCATGGTAATGCTTACCTTACCACATCTGACCTCACAGCAGCATTTTTGCTCTGTAACTTCTTTCTTCTCCTTGAAATACTCTCTTCTCATTGTCTAATTAAGCATTGTGATCAGTTGGTTTTCCTCCTGTCCTCCTGGTTGCTCATCGTCAGTCTCCTTTCCGGTTTCTCCTCACCTGTCTGTTCCAACCATGCCCACTTCTTAGCTTCAGTTAACACCTACTGCCATATGACTCAGATTTTGGTCCCCAAAATACATTTCTCTCTGAACCTTAGATCAGCACACCCAATTGTCCATTGGGAAACTTCTCTACATTCTTCAAATTTCCTGTGCCTCCAAATTTCCTCATGAACCTGGTCTTCCTCTAGTGGTCCCTACCTCAGGAAATTGCCTTTACAACCTGCCCACCCACCTTCTCCAGCCAGGACTTGGCTGTCATGTCTTGTGAAAACTCCGTTTCCTCTTAATGACCTGTTGCTACTAACCAGTTGGGGCTAACATCATTTCTCTCCACCATGATTATACAAGTCTCTCAACTGGGACATCTCCCTCCAGTCTTGTTATCTTCCCCCATCTACTCTCTACCTTGCAGCCACAGAAATCCTTTCAAAATGCAACCGATTATTCCTTTCCTCTCTATGAAACTTTTTATCTTCCCTTTGCCTCCAGGAAAAGTCTTAATTTGTTAATTTAACTTATAATGCCCTGCATGACCTAGCAATCCCTGCTAATCCTTGCAAGGCTCATTCTCAACAGCTACCTCTCACTGGTCCTCAACACGTGCTTTAGGCACGACCCATAGTATACTACTTCCAGATCTTGGAACCTGCCTGCTTTCTCTCAGAGCATGTTGCTAAGTGAAGCTGTGGAACTTGAACCCACCAAACCCCAATATAGCAGCTGGTAGTAGTAAACTTCTAGAACTCACTCTTCCCCTGGTCACCCCAGTGACTTCTGTTAAAAGCATGCTTACTATTCACATCATCCTTTACATTCCTTAGTGCCAAAGCTATCTACAGTGTCCCCTTGGCCACAGCTTCTGACAGTGCAGCTAACTGGCCAGGCAGATCTTGGATACCTGCCTATGGCTCCCTGGAAGCCTCAGGTGGACCACCTGCCTCTTGCTTGTAATGCTGCTGCTTCTTCTACCCTGCACAGAACTACAGGCTGGACCTCCTCAATGGCTCAGAAGGGATGGGCTGGGTCTGTCAGGATGCAGTGCCCAGGAAAGGTCAAGGGACATGGAGCTCAGAAATCAGTGCCTCTTTTAATTGGTTAGCAGCTCCCTGCTTGGATAGTGTGGGGTGAGGGCAACAAGCAGTGTGACCTGGTCTGGACAAGCCCACCCCAAAGCAAGTGAAATAGGATGCCCTGGCTTTGTCCAGCACTGGGCCAGGGCCTGGCCTGGAGTTCAGAGCTTGGCTTACAGGGAGAACTTGATGTCTGCATGTGTGTGGGGAGGGCCTTGCTGCTCTGTAGAAACCACACCAGTATGCTGCTATTGGGAATCCTGGCATCTCCTTTCCCTGTCCATCCTCTGTGGTTGGGCTTCCTGCTGAGGGCAGCTCTGGCTGTTTTGGTGGGGGTCAGGTGCTGGCTGTGTGGGCTGCAGTGCTCTCAGAGGCTGCCTCTCCCTAAGGATCTGCTGATGCCAGGAAAATCAGCATGCTGACTGCCCTGTCCAGATGGCTTATCTTAGATCCCACCAGGACTGCAGTGCAGCTGTGGACCATGGGAGGGCCTCAGCAGAAGCCACTTGTGGAGGAGAGAGGTCACCCATCTAGCATCCTGCAGTGCCCAAAGATTGGGAGCTCTTGCAGAAACCAAGAAACAAACTTCTGAATCTCTGGGGATACTGGAAGCTAGGAATGGTGGTGCATGCTTAGAATCCCAGTTCTTGGGAGGCTGAGACAGGAGGATCTAGAGTTTAAGGCCAACCTGAGCCACACAGCAAGACCCTGTCTTAAAAACAAAAGGACAAAAGACCTGCAGGAGTGGCCCCACCTTTTGTCTACAGCACCCCTCCTAGAAGCTGGTGTCAACTGCTGATAACCCACACCTGCTCTGCTGGTCTTCTGACTGCACTCAAGGTGTAACGTGCATTAAGAGAGCCCCGCTTGGCCTGAGAGCTGTGGACCCTTGGTCTGCCCCCAGGAGGCTGTGTACTTAGGCATGGCCAGGTAGAACTGGGAAAGTGCAGCGTCACTCAGACATAGGCTGAGGCTGCCTTGAGGCCATGGCACCTTGGGCAGGGCAGGTCTTCCTGCTTAGCAGTGGCTGCCTACAAGCCCTGAGCTGGGAGGCATG